CTCATGGCGTCGTTAATTGGTTCCACGAGACCTGCCGTTCAGTGATTTGGTCCTTATATAGAAATACGCGTTAAAGGCTTCATTCGTTCCGATAGCATCGAAAGTTACCCCTTGTCACCCAAAAAAACGTACTTTATAATATTTAAACGGTGGACATTAATACATAAATATACTAACAACATTATAAACACATGGTATTAAAGGAAACATTGTTAATCAATGCATTAATTAACATGTACTGTACCTACAACAGCCCATCGTTAACAGGGGAATGGCCAGTAAGAGAACACATTGGGCTCTATGGAGGCACTACACTTCTATACACTACACTATACACTACACTACTATACACTACACTATACACTACACTATATACTACACTACTATACACTACACTACTATACACTACACTATACACTACACTACTATACACTACACTTCTTTACACTACACTATATACTACACTACTATACACTACACTATATACTGCACTACTATACACTACACTATACACTACACGACTGTACACTACACTTCTATACACTAAACTACTATACACTACACTATATACTACACTACTATACACTACACTATACACTACACTACTATACACTACACTATATACTACACTACTATACACTACACAATCCACTACACTATACACTACACTATACACTACAGTTCTATACTCTACAATACTATACACTACACCACTATACACTATACTATACATTACACTATGCACTACACTATTATACACTGCGCTATGCACTATACTACTATACACTACACTATACACTACACATTCGGCTCTATGGAGTCCCGTCGTTAAGCGATTCGTCGTTAACAGCGGTGGTCGTTCAGAGGGGTTCTACTCTACACTACTATACACTACACTATTATACACTACACTATACACTACTATACACTACTATACTACACTATACACTACACATTGAGCTATACGGAGTCCCGTCGTAAAGCGATTCGTCGTTAACAGCGGTGGTCGTTCAGAGAGGTTCTACTCTACACTACACTATACACTACACTATTATACACTACACTATACACTACACTACTATACACTACACTCTACACTACTATACACTACTATACTACACTATACACGACACATTGGGCTCTATGGAGTCCCGTCGTTAAGCGATTCGTCGTTAACAGCGGTGGTCGTTCAGAGGAGTTCCACTGCATTTAGATTTGTTTCCATGCTAACATTTGGGTACTGAAGAGTACCCTCGGCTATCGTACTCATTCGCGAGTAGGAAGCCGCTTTTGCTAAGCATTTTCAAATCATCTCAATTGAAAAATCATTCCTTTAGAACTGCTTTTTGTGTTTAGTTCGTTGTCCTTCCTCCTGCAACCTCTGATTAGCACGGTCGGCTACGTACGGTGCGTAATAAGTTGAGCATACTGTAGATATTATGGATATTATCCAACTCTTGATTTGTATTGCGCTATCATTAATCACTTGTGCCTCACAGTAAGCATCGGCTGGGTTCGATTCCCAACTCGGGTGCCTTTCTGCATGGAGTTTTGTATCTTCTCCCCCTGTTCTGCACGGGTTCCCTCTGGGTTCGCTCTTAGCTAAGAAATCACATACAATGTAACTTGTGTTGGCCAAACATCCAAATGCTGCCAAAATTACCTTAAAAAAACCTACTCAATTGGGATTACGCATAGCAGCAGCAGTGTGTCCCCCTACTGCAAAACCAGAATCATAATCAGAATATTTACACTGGAGGAATCCTATGAGCTATAAAGCTCTTTTTCACAGATATCCAGTCGGGGCACGGGGTCAGAACGTTGCAACAACAAACAGTACTAAAGCACGATAAGAGTGCAAAGTATAGGAAAGGTAAACAAATCACTTAAATAAGAACAAATCAATATTTGCAACTCATTAAAAAAATATAAATCACTTTTAAAGTTGTAGGACCCTCGTGAAAAAAATATTGAGGCCCATTGAGGTTTTCCTGGGTAAACGAGCGGACTAATAATAAAAAAATGCGAATATTATTACAATAGGATGTGTACCTAATGGATGCGATAGGATCGAGCTCTCGACAAATTCTTCCCATTCTTATTACATGCCGTCTGTTATCTTATCCGTCATCCTCATTTGCAGCAACAACAACAAACCTTTTTGCGATTGGAGCCAAAGCAACTGCGGTAAGATAAAACGTGAACGCCTCGGCTCTCAGTCTCATTACTTTAACGGGGATGCTTTCCTTTTCTTCGGTCTTCAGCTCGGACAAATGCTATGGAGCGGCAATTGTTCCACTTCGCAGGAATAACGTAATGGAGCAATTAGCTGCGGAGCAACCCTTAACGCGCATGGTTTACTACACCGGCGCACGGTAAGCGCAGCGCAAAATACCGATAACTCAGGATTTTGCACAGCGCGGGCACATTGGTGGCTACTGTTGGAGGACCCCCTGTTATTTTTGCCCTCAGCGGAGAAAGAACCAACGGATGGAGTGATGGGCAGCCGTTAAATTTTTTTTTATATAAAACACGAAACTCGACATACTCGCTGACAACACTGTCTTGAATGAAAACAAAACATGTATAATCGGCGATGTTTTTAGCACTGGCCCTTGTTCATAGCACGTATACAGAGAGGCCAGAGAGGCAGGGTTAATAAGAGATTGAGAGTGCACTTAAGACCATGTGGCCTGATGAGTTATTTTTGTTCATTGTCCTTTTGCACCATTGCCAATGCAGCATCGCCAAACAATTCCCAAAAACGCTCCTGATAGCCACAGAGAAGAGGAAAGCTAATGGACAATCCTTCTGATAAGATACAGCCCCCGAAAGCGGGCCGCACCTCGTCCGTGATGCCGTGAGGTACAGGGGACCCAACATTCATCTCGCTCAGAGATTTGCAAGTGGATTAAATATGGACCCATAATTATGTCCGGCTATCTGCGATTCAAAAGTCAAAAGCGATTTCCTGCTCAGATAAGTATTGAGGCAGTGCCCGTCTTCTATTTACAGCCTTGAGCCAAGTGGTAGAAATTCCACATTGCTATGGCAGGGGGAAGGGTCAATCCATCGGTCAACCAATTGTGGACTTCCCCCACAAAGCATTAATATATCATAATTTTAATAACCAAGACAAATAAAAAATATTGTTTTCATTGTAGTTTGTTAACAAAGTTATGTCGACATGATGTAGAGTCATTATAATTAACATGTAGAATTGTATGACATGTAACGTTTGCAGTTACATAACATACCATATGGGATAGCACGCCAGCACTGTACACTGCCATGCAGGTTTTTGTTGTTGTTAAACTCTTGGGTTAGGTCGGCGTAAGCTTGGCGTTAGTTTGGTGTTAGGGCCAACCTCACACAATGCGCATTGCAATAAATCTTAATATTTTGCTAAACAAGCCACTCTATTATATCCTTAGTTTTTTCGGTAAAGTCACGTTGAAGAGAAACAACAAAATAATAAAAGATATATAAAACAATAAAAAATTCTCACGACGTTTAAAAATAAATTTATGCGAACCAACACACCTGAAGACGACCGTTTGAGTTATGGTCGAAACGTCGTGAGAATTTTTTTATTGTTTTATATATATTTTATTATTTTGTTGTTTCTCTTCAACGTGACTTTACCGAAAAAACTAAGAATATGAATTACTGCAGTCACGAAAGCTTTAAATCAAAATTTAAGCCACTCTATTATCTGTGGCATAATGAAGTGTAAATATCACTAACGAATACTAATGAAAACATATTAACCTCGCTTGCACAATTCATGTATTGAAAGCGGTTATGCAACATCTTAACACTTTGCATTGTTGTCAAAAGGTAGAAGAGTCCTTTTCTTCTCTTCCTTGATCAATTCCACCTGACCATTAACAATTCTGCTGCTAATATGGTGGCTTAAAATATATATTTTTGACGGGCATTAGGAAGACGACCCGTTTTCCACACATGCGTTTAGAGTATTTGGCTGCTATACATTTCCACGCGACGATAACCCAGTTCATCGGGCTATGAATTTATGATCACGAGGTCGCTTCTGAACAAGAGCTATATCGCTCAGTGGGCCTTACACCAGGTAGAATAAAAAAACATAGTTCGTTGGCATCGTTGGTTAAGATAGCAAATTCAAGTAGAACACCAGAACGTTAACTATTCGTGCAGAGACGATCAACTTTCTAAACGTTTAAAAAGCGAGAACGAGAACTCTGGGTGGTTTAGTCGCGAAGGCTCAGTGCTGGTAGCCCTCTACGCCACCTTGCAACTTTCATGCCAAACACATTAAAGACGTACGGATTAATCGATAATAAGATGTTTTTTTCTGGTTAGACCACGTAAATATAAACGCGTCGCTAAACTCGCCACTACCTGGCACAGCCAATAAGTAAGGTTTGTCACGTAAATCAAACGTGCCAATTCGTTACTAGTACAGCACACACCCGGTGTGTTGGAGAGTAAACCTACAACATTTACAATTTGAGCACCGTGACGTTTCGCCTGTAATTACAACCAACATCATCAGGCGAAAGCCAGAGTTGTGGAGAAATCCTCCCATTTCAGTCTTAAATAGACGGGGGATAAATGTGATGTCGTTACTTATGAGCTAATCAGGTGCGAATGCCAGAGGTGGGGGGGGGGGATCAATGTATGCATATAAATGACAATGGATACCATTTCCGGTTGGGCTATTCATATGGTAATCAACATACATTAAGCATGTACATTATGAATTCAATCTACACATGAAGAATCACGCAAAAAAAACCACATTAACTTATTCCGACGGTGTGATTTTTTTAGTTTGTTGAAATATATATGCTCATTATCATAACACATGACCGTCCATATAAACGGGTCGTCATTCTGATCTTGAAGATTGCTCGTTTTCGTAAGCAGCGCATTTCGCTCGCCGGGAGTCGCACGATCAAGCGATTAGAAAAAAAAAGGGGGCTGGGGGGGTAGGCTTAAAAATGCGCGTTACTCACCCACATCCGTCGGTTTATGGTTCTTTATAATTTCGGCCAGCTCAAAATTGCCAGCAATAATCGCCACCTGTAATGAGAGATCAACATTTTGCGCGTGGGTTTACACGACCCAAAAAGAAAGTCTCGATTCACACTGCGTACCTTCTTCTTTCGGATTATATCGCGAAGGTAAAATGTGATTTATATATATTTTTTGTTATCAACTATAACCCTCCACGTGAGAGCCGAGCACTTGTTAACACCGGACGATGCTGGATGCAATTTCCAGCGAAGCGTCAGACCAAAAAGTCGTCGAAATTTCGCTTTGCTTTTCAACAGTCCTCCAGTTTTTGCTGCAAAACTAAACCAATTTTGGCATATTTACCCACGTGGGCAACTTGATTTTATCGGCTCTGTCAGGCGATTGAGGGTTCTAGTAGTTAACAACCCACACGATGATCTATGTAACCCATCATCATCGTCATCATCATCAAGATCCATGGGCAGATAGCACAGAGGTGTCCACTGCACATTTCGTCATCAGAAAGCAACTACGAATCAAAATTCAACATGGCAACAGGTTTGTTTTGTTTTGCTCAAACTTCACAACGCAAATGGTCACCTTGAAGAACAGCAACGCTTCGCTAAACCACGCGGTTTTTAACTCGACGCCCACGTGACTCATATTAAATAATTTTGGACGGGGGGGTGGGGTTAGAACTTCCCCGTAAGCCCCCTCCACCCATCCCACCCTGAAAATATTCCACTGATCCTGTGTGAACCAGGCTGAGCTAGGCCAAACCCATCCCATTAGATGTTGGGCGAAGGGAGAGAGGGATCGGGTCAATATTTCAGCGAGTTGTGATTTTTATTCAGGCTAATTACGCCATAAACGGTGTCCTGGAACTGGTGATTGAAACAGGGGTGAGAGCGAAGCGTGACAGGTGGGGGAATATCAATTCCCTTGACTCTCAAGCGAAGTAAATAGTCTTCATTACTTGTCGAGGCTTTTTCAAGATTTAAAATCGAAAGAAATCAAAGAAGGCATCAAATAGGCTGGGGGGGGGGGGGGGGTCTATTTTTGGTAACCGTCTTATTTTGTGGGACAACCGTAGTGTCCGGGTGACGACGACACCTTAGATATTGTTTCATTCGTCTCTTCACATGCTGGTGTAGCTTAAACATACCGAGTGATGCAATTCGCCTTTTGGGTCAATGTGCCTGCTGCCGTCGCTGCTGCTGCTTTTAAATGTTAGTTCGCTGAGTCTATGGATAGCACGGACAGCAAAATGGAATCCAGGAATTGTTAAGGAAGCATTTGGGACACGTGGATTACGCAGCTTTTGTTCCGTTTTCCGGCACGTGGACTGCAAAATGTGGTAGAGATTTATAAAAAAAACCCTGCCGCTAATGCCGGTGTGGTTACGGACTGAGCTTTTCCACCTCAATCACAGGTGCCAGTAACAGGGGTTATGCGGAGGTCATGGGACATTGCCCTGGATGGGGTGGGATTTTATTGATGGACTCCATAAACCATTTTGAAAAAGACAAAACGATGATGATCGCTGCTCAAGGGACAGGCCTTTGAGCGAGGTGTGTTGCCGGCCAGAAAGGTAGATGGCAAGAAAAACAAACCTCAAAAGAAGCGTTTTGTTTGTATGTATGTACGTACGTTGAACTAGTTTCGCACCGTACGTAGCCAACCGTGCTAATTGGAGGTGCGGAGGGAAAGACAATGAACTAAGCACACAAAAAGCAGTTCGAAAGAAATGAGCCTACAATTTATATTTTGCATTTGAATAATAGGCGCGCGACTTAATACATATAATAACAAGGTCGAGTGCGCAACATTTTAAATTCAGATCGGAATGTGAAACGATAGCATTGCAGATATAATGAGGACATAAGGTTCTGATCGGTGTGAAATGTTGCGCAGTAGAGGTGGGAAATTTACAAAGGCAGGCAATGGTGTGGCCACCCATTTGTCCAACAACCAAGGAGAAGAATTAAGAGTTAAGATACTGTGATACTGTGGGAGTCACACCAATCCCTTTTGCACCAGTGCGCTTAACCTTCAACGATGCGAGTTCAATCCCCAATGAAGCTTGGAGAGATGAATGGGGGTTCAAAAGTGCTCACAAAAAAAACACCTTGTGAAAAACCCAAAGTAGAATATCCCTGGTTTTCATCTTTCACGAAACTCATGGTCCACCCTAAACCGCATCCGTACAAACCATGGCAGATTGCTGATACCCGATGCACAAATGGACAATAAAAAAAAAACTCTCCAGTAGTGTACGACTTTGGTCATCCAGAACAGAAAATGCAACGTACACAATGCCCCGGATCCACAAATACGAAGGTGACGTCACGGCGATGAAACACTACTCCGCTGATTCTGATGCCTTTATCTGGCTTGACCACCTGAATGTGAAATTGTGGCTGTTGCTTTGCATCTACATCAGCCATTCGGAAGAACTCTGGGAGTAGATCCTTTGTCATGTGCCAGGGCGGCACAATGGTAATACTTGTCCCTCACAGCAAGAAGAGCCTGGGTTTTATTCCATTTTCGGGCTCCTGTCTGTGGTGGTTGTTTTTGTTTGTTAATGTTCTCACTCCTCTTCTGCACGGGCTACCTCAGGATTCTTCGGTTTCCTCCCAAAGATACAAAAAATATATATTTTATGTAATTGATATTGGGCAAAACACCCCAATGCTGAAATATTACCTGCAAGTTACTCGATTGGGGATCGTACATTGCAACAATTGCCACCTCCTGCAACAACATAACATTGGCAGGATCCTCCTGAAAGGTTTTGGGAATGACTGAAGCTTCCCTGGGTAAGCATGTCGTAGTAGTAGTCGTAATAATGTGACAACTGCACAACAGTTGCAATATTCGGGATAAAGAACCAATGCCAAGGTGTGGCGGCATCAATGACATTTGACATGTATACTTTTTTTTAATCTTGATCTTCAGCTCCTCTTGCCAACAAAGCTAAGCCCAATTAGCTAACTTAACTTAAATCAAAAGGAGCTGAGGTCACTTGTGCTTTGAAAAAAAAAAGCTCTTCTAAAATACGTTCCTATTTTTTTTACCTAAAAATTACAGTCGCGAAGTGTGCTATTGATTTTATGAATGTCAATCAACAGTTGTTTTATTAAATCATCAGCAAACGTTCCCACCACCACCAACAAAAAATGGCTGCCATCTTCCTTTTTGCATAGCCGTCAAACCCACGTGACCTCATTTCGGCCAATCACATTGCAGCCATGTGCCCGCGATTAAAATCAAATTAAAAATCATTGTTTGAGGAACAACATCTCCAAAAGAATAGCACTTTAAAGCCACAGAACGCATTTTCATTTTCCGCAAGCATTGCGCCCGATGTTAAATGTCGTAATGACAATAGAGTGTAATTACATTTTTTTGCTGCAAACAGCATTATTGCACAAATTCTCACTTTATTTTTTTTTTACAAACGCTAACCCATTGATAAACTAAGGCTTCATGCTTCATTCAGTTAGACGCAGCGTTTGCCATTCGCACACCAAACACAGAACATGTAAGGAAGCGGTAAAATGCACAGCTGTTGCTGTGACGTTCTCCCCAACGCACTGTAATGAACTGCTAGATGCATTGAACGGTGCTGCTAATGTACGAGACTTGTGCCAATTGAGAAAAGGTCAGAGTTGGGTGTCTGGGTGAGGATTAACACCGCGTGCAGTAGGCACACAGGAAGAGTCGCGTTACGAAAACGCGTTTTACGTCACGAGCAGACCAGTGGATCAAATTGTATGGCAACGTTGTTACTAAATTCACTTGTGTCCCTTCTTGTGTTCATCAGTAGGATAAGTGATGTCGGATCAAAAGGGGTTTCAACGGAACACACAAAAGTAACTCAGGTCAGCCACCAATCTGTCTAGAAATATTTGGCATTTTTACTATCCACTGAATTATGCTAGGGGCATCTGGTGGTTTAAAAAAAAAAATCTGAAACCCAACGACAACAAGAACAAAACATTTTTTTTATGAACACAGTTTCCTGGGCACGGGCAACAAAACGTCAAGAATCCAGCAACAAACAACACTGACAAAGTTGTAGTGGATACGAGTTTACGCGAGCGAGATTATTGCTGCGAGAGCTTGGCAAGACGGAGGATGAATGGGAGGGAGTGTCGAGAGTCGGGCCATGTGAGGGAAGCAGCAGCAGCAGCAGCAGCAGAGAGAAGTAATTTGACCTGAAGGGCGGTGGTGGTTGAACACAGAATGGATGAGATGAAACAGTCAATTTCACCAAAAAAACGCCGTTAACAGGACAGCAACGAGACGCATCAAAACAAAGCCAAAGATCTCCAGTTTAGCCTTTAACAGACGGTTGGGGCAAGTGCTGTTAGCGAGTAGGCCGGCACGGTACACGATAGAGTGGGTGACCAGCACCACGCCCTGCCGCCTTTGTCTCTCAAGTAGCGATGTTAAAACACGGCACCATGTACTCATTTAAGGCTGAGTCGACCTCGGGGAGGGTCCAGGACCAGTTCGAATATTCGTCACCGAAATTGGGTCGAGAACAGGAATCTAACTCAGGATGCCATGCTCGTTGTGCAGTGCGCTAACCGCGGTGCCACCACTCCTCACATGCACACACACACCCACGTTACTAGCTAGACTTTCGTTTTGCTGCACCTCACGCTCACTACCATATGACCCCAATAGTCTGCGATGATGGCAGTCACCTCGTACACTCTATTAACTTTTTTTATTTATTTTACCAGGTAAAGCCCACTGAGCTATATACCTCTTTTTAAGAATTGACCTGGCCACAAATGATAACCCAATGAAGTGGCATATCATGTGGAAATTTACAGCAGCCAAACACTGTAAGTGCACGTTTCTAAATGCGGAGGGAAAAACCGGAGGAGCCGGAGAAAAATCCACACGACCGTGGGGAGAGAAAGACGCAAACTCCAAATATACAGGCATCATCAGGGTCGGGATCGAACCTACGACCTCCTGCATACCAGGCGAGGCAGGAAACATCTCCTAGCCACCGCGGTGCCATTTGATAAACCTTGATGGGCATCCGT